ATAGGCAGCCAAAGTGGAGGCCATACGTTCAGTCTTGAGGTGATGATTGTCAGCAATCCAACTAATGACAGCAACTGTGCTGGTTAACCCAGCACAGTTATGGAACTCAGTACTGGGGACTGAATCTGTCTCAACCTCTGTGGTGCAACTCAGCTGGTAAAGATTATACTACACAAGGTTAGGTCTCAATAGCCTGTGGAGGGCCAGGAGAAGAGGGTAGAGCAGCATTTCATAGCTGCTTTCTGGCCTTATAGACTGTATATAAAGGTTTTATGGATTTTTTTTTAAACATCAAAATAAGAAAAAAAATTTTATTACAACAGCTTTTAACTAGGGAGTTAGATGTATTAAAACAACATAGACCACAACTTATAAATAATATAATTGTTACTGGGAGATATTAGAAAGATAGAATGTATATGTATATTTAATTTTTCAATAATAAGAATATACACCTTCAGGAGTAAAGCGTGGTTGAGGAATTGTGGCAGAAAGAAGAATCTTAAATGTTAGTTGAAGTTATTTAGTTTGTTTGTTTTTTAAATAAGCTCTGAAGACATTTCCAATTTCATTTTGATGGAGAGGACTGTGCAATGTGTGTCTCCCTTAATGGGCAGTTGGAGCTGGGCTCAGAGTGAACCTTCATGTAGGTCATAGACAGTGCCCTGCTCTGCTTCCCTGGGGAGCTTGGACAATGTGACCTATGATGGCGGGCTGAGGAGGAGGGCCATGTAAAGTGGGGGGAGAGAGAGAGAGTTGCTCACATGTCATGTGGTCATTTCAGATGGACTTTGGTAGTGGATCACACTTGTAGTGAGTCCCTGTAGTCAATGTGCAGTTTCTTGCATTGTGAGAAACTCTTTAGAGTGTGCCCGGGTTTTACTGGGTCAACATGGAACACCCTTGAGTTTACCTCTGTGAAATGTTCAACCCAAATATTCAGTTGATGGTAGGAAACTTGAATCCCTAGTCAGAACTGACTGAAAGTCACCCTGACTGGAGAGAAGGCTCTTTGTGGCAGGAAGAGAGTGGAGCTTCTTGATTGAGTGTGTCACCTCTGTGCCCTCCCTGACTCCCATGTCACGTAGACACATAGCTCTTCACCTCTTTACCTCAAGTCTGTATCGCACCTGTAGATGCAGGGTCAGATGCAGCATTCCTGCCATTGTCATTACTCACGGTTTTGCTCATCTCCGTTTGCACGTCGGGTGTGCTGAAACAGCTTTCTGGCAGTTGTTCAGAGCTGACTTAATAATGGCACTTTTTACAAAGATGTGTTTCCCTAACTGTGAAGCAGATTTTGTTTTCCCACTGACATCCTTGAATTGAAGATCTAGATGCATGCACTTAAGTTTTAATAAATCTGCCACTACATGTTAGAAAAAGTCAAACTGATCATTTCTCACAAGTGGAGATGATACTAAACCTCTGTGGCCTGGTGTGTGGACAGTGTATGACTTGCTGTCCACGGAGGCTGGACCACAGGAAAGAGCTGTGCCTTGTGGATGGCCTGACCCTCTTCTGTCCCAGGTAAAACATGCTCTCAAAACCTCAGGCTCTTAATGATTTCTTCCAAGTGATTTTTTCTAGAGTCTCTGTTTAACCCTCCTCATTATGACTACTTTGTAGCTCGAGTGAAGTATTGAATATCTTCTCAGAGTTACCCAGGGAGGGGCTGGTGCCAATGTGTAGCATGATTTCCATGAGCACACCTGTGATCCACAGTGCTTCTGCTCGCTGTGCCGGTTGTCACAGAAGGTCCTGATCACTGGAGGAAAGCCTTGGGGTCTGGCTCTGATCCTTTGCATGTTATCTAGCAGGTCCCTGTTGCCAGCTGTCCATGACAATCATTGGTGCATAGTCACAGACCTTTGTTCGTGGTTTGATTCCCTGGCAAGTCTTTCGACTGAAACTTGAGCCATACTGGTGTCTTTCCATTCTTGGGGCTTGTTTTTCATGGTGGCTACCATTCCAGCATCTTTCACTAGCACTAAGCTCAGAGAAAGGGGGAAGAGAGCCAGGAGCTAGACTCAGCACCCACGTGTTCCCCTTCCTGGTGTCAGAGTGCTGGTGTGCGTCAGACCCCTAGGACTGAGGGCAAGGAGTCTGTGGGGATGGGCCTTCTCTTTTTCCTAATTGCACTATACTTGTTCTAGCTTCGGTCTGGAGATACTTAAGACCTCCATGGGGTCATAATCCATAGACTTAGCAAGTCTGCCTTATCTCTGGAGCTCGGGGGTGAGAAATGTGACCACTATCGATGTCCATAGTTCATTTCCCCTAGGCCTTTTCTTTTCACAGATTGTGTTCATCTGAACCATTTTATTTTTTATTTACCAAAGTACTGTACTTGGCTATTTGCAGTGTTTTCAAAACCAAATGTTTCCTTTTTTGTTTTTAATCTTTACTACTTGGTGCAATAGAAGCTGCAAAGATGTGCCACTTATCTATGAAATGGAGTTTTGTATACCAATAAATTCTAGTTTAAAAACAAAGTTTTAGCTCTTTCTTTTCTTTGCTAAAAACCTTCCTATAGAAGGACTTGGTTACTCAGATTTAGTTCAATTTAGTTACCCATCTAAACATTCAGGAATCCACCCAACATTGATGACCCTGTGCTATATATAGCTAATATTTCTGGGTAGTGACCCAGACATGGGCCCGTCCTCAAAAAGCTTCCAGTCCAGGAGGCAAAAGGAACATGTGACTGTGACCGGAGAGAACACATGCCCTAATGGAAGGCTGAGAAGGTGATTGTGAACACAGCCATCGGGACATCAAGGAAGGCTCTTATAGGAGGTGGCATTGGGACCAGGAGTGAAAGGGGAGAGAGGATGCAGAATAGAGCATTTTGTACCTAAGGACCATCATAAGCAAAACCCTGGAGTGGGAACGTCCATGTAGTTAAGATAGTTTATTAAGGGTACACATTTTGGAGGAAGACTGGGGACTTATTTGTTCACATGCTTCCCATGTCCCTTTTGCTACTGGAAGATTAATACCATGCTTGCCGAGTGAGTTCTAAAGACCAGGTGTGCTTAGTTCAGCCTGGTTGCTTTCTTGGTGTATGGAATAGGTCTTGTGTACTTTCTGACCTGGGGACGTTACAGGTAGCTGTGAGGTCTCTCCAGCCAGTTTTATCTGTCCGTGGGCTGTCAGCTCAAGGACACTGAAGATTAATATTTTAAAACATAAGGCCCATTTAAGATAAATGAGCACTCAGATGGTAGTGAACCAACAGACTGTTTGCATGAATCATATAGCATTAGTGTGTGGCATCAGTTCCCTAAAATAGTTCCGGTTGTCATGAGCCCATGGATTCAACTGAACAGATACTTATTTAGCATCTGTGGTGCGATGATGCTGCAGGGGAGGCAAAAGGACAGGTGATTGGGCATGGATGGAGTGTTAGTAACGCACCAGGCACTCTGAATTCATTGTCTCCTAGGAAGCTTAAAACCACCCCACAGGGCTGATACTCTTTCTGTATTTTACACATGAAAGAGTAAGTAAATGGACCAAGATCACAAGTGGTAGCAGAAGCAGGATTTGGACCCAGGACTGCCTACTGCCACCACACAAGAACCCAAATAATGGGTAAGCAGCACTAGTAAAGGTCCCAAAACATGAGCTGGCCTTCAGAGGAGACTGAATTCTGCTCCAGCTGGGAAAGGTGGAATTTGAGGTGCATTCGTGGACAGGAGAAGCTTTTTAGGTTGAGGGAAGCTATTGCATGAAGGAATGAAGGCAGGAAAGCAGTGGATAATGGAGAGCCACTGATGGTATGGCGGGGAGGAGTTGACTGGATGGACATCAAGCCATTGGTGGACGGGAGAGAGACTGCATGAAGGAGGGAGGCCCTTTGGTCCTGATTCTCTACTCTTAGCTTTAGTTAGTGTAGAATATTTGCTCTCTGCCTGCCAGTTAACCCATCTAATTTTTCTCTATCCCTAGCACTCAACCTAATGCCAGAAACGTAGTTTATACAAAGCTTATTGAAAGAAAGGATGATCTTTAATAGTATTCAGTTCTCCAGCTGCAACATTGCAAAGAACCTCAGAGAAGCAGACACACGTCCGTGGAATCATAATCAGACTCTTCAGTTAGCTCGGGAATTCCATTGTGATTTCTAATCACTTATTCAGCAAGTGATTTAATTGGGCACTTCATGCCTAGCTTCTGTTAGGGGGGTAAGTAGGAACAAAAGCAAAAACAATCCAAACCCTGTCTTCAAAATGGAAGAGATATGCTATGAAACATTGAGGTCAATGTCCTCTCACCAGCCTTGGTGTAGTCCTTTGCCTTACTCATTTATCCACGCATTCATCTGAAGAATTAATACACATAAAGCCCTGAGAACAGTGCCCTGTAAACTCTAGGTGCTTAATAAAATGTTATACCTGTGAAGCCAGAATTAGACAGTATAGATAGATAAATCGAGTCTGGTCAGATCAAGGAGGCCACTTTGAGTGAGTCTGGGAAGTTGGAAACTGTCCCACCCCAGAGGGCCTTCAGAGCCCTTCCTTCACCCTATCAAGATAACCCTCCCCTGCTCCAACCAGTTGCTAAGGCAACCTGCCCCAGGAATTGCCCCTCCTTACAGGGAGCTGTAAAGTTGTTAATTAATATGTCCTGGGCTGCTCCAGCCTGCCCTTCCCTGTTCAGCCCACCTGTTTCCCACCACTGGGCCACCCCACCGACCTTTCCTAGGCCTAGTCACAGGGAAGAGAAAGATAAGGGCAAGAGAGCAGGAGAACAAAGGAAGCCTAAGACGCACAAAAGGGCAGAACACCTCACTTCTTGGGATACCAGGAACCAGCTAGGGCCCCCTTCTCACTCCCGGGAGAAGTCTATGTTACCCCTTTTAAAGTAAACCCTGCCTTATATGCTTGCTTCGGCGTGCTTCTCTAATGTTCAAACTTCAACGAGAGGGAGCAGGTCACCGATAACAAGCGTTATCACTTGTTATTTTAACATTCATTCATAGGACCAAATGCTTATTTATGTGCTAGGCATATAAATATGCTGTCACACATACTCATTTATTTAAACCTCACCACAACCATCTGTCAGGGGAATGTCATTGTTCCATTTTACAAATACAGAGACTGAATCTGTGACCAGGCTTCGAAGATTTTCACCTGCGCACCTGGAGGTCTTGTTAACCTATTGAAGGATTTAGCAGGGCTGGAGTAAGGGCTGTTTTTCTAACAAGACCCCCTGCTGCTGCTGCTGCTGTCCACACACCCCTGAGCAGTCAGTGCGCCAACACACCCCCTGTTGCTAAGAGGATGAACACAGATGTGTACCTGGAGCCTCTGACTTCAGTTCAGAGCTCTCCTTTTCCTTTTTCAGTCATTTTCACAAGTCTGCAACTAGAAACCAAGTGCATTATAGATCCACACATGTGCAGATGGAATCCAAACCTCGATTCATTCATTGAACATTTATTGAGCTCTGGAAAAACGAAGGATACGACTTGTCCATGAGTGACCAAGGGGCTCACCACCTGTGGTCACAGCCGGTTGCACTGGCATCTGTCTTTAGTTGCAGTTCTCACATTTTTGGACAGTTACAATGGGAAGATTACCAGGTCCTCATCCCATTATGCCCAGAAGTCACCTCTCTACTCTACCCAAGTCAGCTCCTTTTCCCCGACTTTCTTATTTCTGCAGACACACCAATACCCTAAGATGGTGGGAAGTCCTTCTCTGATGATTCCTTAGCATATTCATTACTGACAATGCAAGTTTAGGAATTTCACCAGCCCGAGGAACTGCCCAGGGGGTGAAGGGAAATCCATGTGAACCGAATTTGGGTTTCTTCCTAGTAGTCTGAACAAGTTGGACACCAGAGGGCGCCTCAGGATCACGTTCCCTGACAAATCAGACTCAGGCTCACAGAAGCCAATTTTGTTTCAAGACACCATCTTTGGGTGGTTCCAACTTTGGGTCATTGACAACAGCAAAGCTCACATACTGGTCCCCCATGCTATTTTTTTTCTAGCTCAGAGCTTTGTTGTCTTTTTAAAGTCTAGGAGGATGCATCCCTTTGATTTCTTGTGCTCCTCAAAGTCCTCATGGGTGTATGCACACCATATGAAGGATGAAAGGGAGTGAAGTTTATCCAGCCGGGCCACAGCTTTGTACCATGCAGCACATGGTCTCCTTCAATAGGCTCATCCTGGTCCTGTAGGATTCCATCCGTGTCTGGCAGCTGGTGGAGACAGCAGATCTGCAGTCCAGAGTTAAATCTGCTGAGGCTTGTGGCTTTCAGAACTGGCTGTTTCTTTGGTGGGAATCCTTTGGTTGACCTGCCATGTTGTACCCTCTCCTCTTCCTGCTCTCTCAGGAGCATCACAGGCTGCATATGCTCACAGCTGGCCTACCCTAGATATGTGATCTTTCCAAGGTAACAACTATTGGGTCTGGTCAACATGGCCGTGTCACAACACTGGCAGCTGATGCCAACTTCTTGAAAAAATTAAGGGAGAAGAGCAAGGATACCCTGGTACAGTGTCCCTTCTTTGACTCTCAGGTGTCAAAAAAGGGGGTTAGATAAGATGGATCTGGAGCTACTTTTCCCTCTAAATCAGTCTTTGTCAGTGGGGGCGTTTTGAGGCCTGATGACAGTGGGGACAATATTTTTAGGTTGGTAGTTTTTATCTTTCTTACATTAAGCCATATGGCCAGAAATATTCCTTTTGGAGATTGCCATTATTGTCTCAGAGAAGATTGTAGAACTTTAGAAGAAGAGAATAATGGAAACTTACTGCTGTGGAAAATTAAAAGGACTTAATATTGGCATTACAGATGGGACCCCAAATCAGATTCATTCCTACTGTATTCCAGTGCTTAGCACCAGGGTGGTGCATGGCAGGTGCTCAAAATATGAACGAATGAACAAATGAATAAATGAAAGAACGGGATTATAGACTAATCAAAACCTAGCATGACAAAATCTGCAAATCAGAGAATCCTAGAATTAAAGAGAGCATATTCACTTATTCAGAAGAGAGAATGGGTGGGGTTACTGAGTCTTGTGGGTGCTGCAGAGGCCCACGGCTCCTGAGGCTCTTCCTGGGGGAAGTGTGGAAACTCTGGGGAAGGGACGGAATTTTCCAGAGGGAGGGCCTTGGGTTCTAAACTTCTTCAGGCCTGGGATTATGGCAGCCTGAGGCGGGGCTGCAGCCAAGCAGAGTTTAGCAGGGTGGGGTGGGTCCTGTGCACAGCTTGTTGGGGTAATGGGCATATTTGCGGTTGTAGGTGCTCACATAGCGGCGGAAGCAAAGGGCAGCCCTCCTGTCGCACTCGCAGGTCCGCCTCTGGCAGGTGGTCTTGCCGGCTGGATGAAATAGGTAAGTCAGGCACTAAGGTTGGAGGCGCGGGATTCCCGCTCTCGGACACGGTTGGGACGGCTCCCGGCTGCTCTTGGGTTCATGTTCTCAACCTCATCCTCAGCCCCATTCTGATGGGAGCCTGCACTCAAGGGGGCTGTTCCAGAATGGGGGAGTCAAGGGCAGAGCGTGGGAGACCCTGTGAAGGCCAGAAGTTGGCCCTCACTGTCCCTCCTTCCTTCCCCAGGCCCACTCTCATGGCCCTTGGCCCCCTCCTGCCTGGTTCTCACCTGCCCCCACCCAGGGATTTCTGGGCAACTCCTTCCTCCTGTGATGGTGCACCGAGGAGCGGGGAAACTACGGGAGGTAGTGTCAATTCTAGATGGCTGGTCATGCCCCCGGGGGGGCCTGTGTCCAGGCTGGAAGCCTTACTTGGGGCCCCCTGCCTGCTCCCACCCGAGAGGACAGAACCTATTTTTCTTCCCACACCAGCCTAGGAATTAGACCTCCCAGACCATTGTCCCTGAGGCTGGCTGGCGTCAGTTCTGCAGGCACCCGAGCTGCAGAAGGCTCCTGTTCTCTGCACCGACTCATTTTTGTCCCCACAAATACATCTCTCTCCACAAGGGTCCTGGTGCCTCCTCCCCCTCACCCAAAGATGAGCCTTTATTCAGGATTCTGCCCACGCCTGCTATTTCAGCAGGACTCAGGATTGGGGAGCTTGACATCTTGACAGCCACCCTGTTGGGTGCAGAGCAGGCTGAACTGTGTTGTCTGCAGGGCAGGCTGAACAGATGTTGGCTGCAAGATAGCCCACGCACTCAAACCCCCCTCTATCTGGTCCTTTATCACCTGTTTGCCTCAAGGCTGAACACTTAACCCCCCCTTGGGCCAACAAGGCAGCTTGCAGACCCAGAGGCCCCATTAGATTTGGGCTATAAAAACTCCCTCCTGCCAGGCCCCCCCCTCTTGCTCTCTGTCTCGCTCTTGCTCTTGCTCTCTCCCTCTTCATCTCTCCTCTTCTCTTCTCTCTCTCTCTCTTTCCTTCTTTCTTTTTTCTTTGTTGCACTGCTGCAATAAAGCTCTCTTGGTCACTCTGTTGTGGTCACTTTTCTTTCACACCCTCTTTTGGGGGGTTCCTTCCAGGAGCTGGGCTGAGCTAGGGAGAGGGGTATGATTACCTCCTTATTAGATGAGGATGCAGAGGTTTCCAGGGGCTGTGTCACCTGCCTAAAGTCACATGGTGGGCAGAAGGTGAAGCCCTGAGAAGAACTCAGGGCCCAGACCTCCCGGCCCCCTCCCCTCTTCTCACAGCTGACTATCCCAGCCTTGCATGAAGCTCAGGGGTGGGGCGCCCACCACCTTTACCTTACACAGCTGCTCTCCTGAGTGGACGGCGGAAGGAACAAGACCCTCTGAGCTACCTCTGCCTTGGAGGTGCTGGCCTGGCTCTGTCCCTCCCCTCTGGTAGACCTTTGATACCTGCGCAGTCCTTTCGCAGGAGAGGACTCCAGGTCCATCTCTGCACCACACCCATGGGGCCCTGCCCTCCCTCCAGGCTATGCCTGGCTTTATAGCAGGAAGGCCGGCTTCTGATCCACCTGCCCCCCTACACTCTGTCTCAGTTGAGGCTGCTTCCCCAGCTGGAGACCAGAGGAGGGATGAACCGTCCAGGGCATCGGATGTGGCAAAGTGGAGAGAACCGGCCCAGCCTGATAACCCTAATAAGGGGAATCAGCCTTTGGGAATGGGGTCTGCTGTCCCAAATCAAAACTCCACCTGCCTCCATCCTGGGGACCTGAGATGGGTGTGTGAGTCCAGCTCATTTGGGTGCGGCTCAGCTGGGCCCCTCCTGCACCCTCCCCAGAGGCTGGAGCTGGGAGGAGTCTCTGGGTGGGGAGGAAGTTCCTGAGGCTGAGGCAGGGACTGGGGCTGCACCAATGGACCTTGGCTTCTCTAGCCCAGATGCCTGGTGAGCATGGAGACAGAGGGACAGGTCTCTGCACACCACTGACAATGGGAAACCCCATTCCTCCAGTCCAGGGTCTGCCCCTGACAAGGCCGAAGGTCACATCAGGAGGGGGATCCAGTCTGAAGCTGCCCCTCCCCACAACATGTGGATTGCTCCGGGTCTGTCCACTCACCACAGAAGATGTCTTGCTGGCCGACAGAGAAAAGGTACTTTTCCAGTTTGGGTTCACAGCCCAGCTTCTCCAGCCGCCCATAGCAACAGTCATGGGCGTGGCAGCACCTGCGGGGTCATGGTCAACTGGAGGGGCCTGTGAGCCAGGCCAGGCTGGACAGGGATGGCTGGGGCACAGCCCAAAGGAGCTCGGAGGAGAGGGTCAGTTGCTGGTCTCTCAGTGCCCCCAGATCCTTCCCCCTCCCAGGGTGCTCCTCCCAGAGTGTTCCCCTTGCTGGCCACCTCCTCACCAGTCTGTCTGGTCCACTGGCCAGTGGGACCCACCGATGCCACAGTAGCAGCCATAATCATTGTACTGCAGAGCTGACTTCCCTGTCATCCTCTCGATCATCACCCCAAACTGGACCAGGTTCCCGCTGGCCATGGCCACTGTGGAGGAGGAGGGAGCCTTTCACCCAGGGCCCACCCCTCATGTCACTCAAATCTGATTCCAGACAGCTCAACATTTGTCTAGTGAAGCTTCTCTCCTCGAAGCACCCCGTCACCAATAGCAACAATGATACTAAGTAGTGACCCCTCCAGTGGCATCCTTTGGGTCTTAATCCTATCGACCCCACTCCTTCACGTCAGCCACACACCCCCACTCTCCTCCACCACCCCAAGAATATCCCTCACTCACCCTTCTGGGGACCCCCATTGGCTTTTCACATCTCTCCCAAAGACCTTCATTGTACCCCCAGCTGTTAGCCCTGGTCTCCTCCAAGAGCGCTCTGTCCCCTGAGGTCTCACAGATACCACAGGACATGATTCCTAACTCCCTCAAGGGACCCCCCTGAATTCCTCCAGATCCTCCCAATGCAGCCATGGCGCGGTGCCCACCGAGGCAGGTTGGAGCCAAAAATGAAGCCAGTACAGGGAGGAGCCCGAGTGTGCTGCTGGGGTCCCTGCCAGCCCCTGTCCTGTGCTCCCACCCCTCCTCGGGCTGCACTCTCCCCCCTACTCCCCCATCTCCTCCAGCCACTGCTGGCTTGCGCAGAACTGGCTTATCCCCTGGTGGCAAGAAGAGGGGGTCCCCAGTAGTTGGTACCCCTGATGCCTTCTGGAGAACCAAGCTCAGGGGCATCCAGCAGGCTCCGGGTTGCCAGATAGCGGGGGCGGGAAGGGGGACCGTCACAGGTCATGAGTTCACTTACCCAGGAGGCAAAGGAAGGCCAGAAGATGGGGAGGGTTCATCTTGGGGGTCTCGGAAGAGGTGAGCAGGGGGCAGAGGAGCCTGAGAGTGGAAGGGAGTGAGCAGGGGCCCTCTGAATTCAGGGCACCTCCCAGTCAGTTAAATACCCAGTTCTGTCCACTCCCCGTCATTAACCCCTGAGTGCCCAGTGATGCAACCCCTGAGTGCCTTCAGGTCTGAGACTCTGGCCAAGTCCCCAGAGGAGGGGCCAGCTGGGCCCACAGCCCAGGAAGCAGGGGATGTAATGGCTGTCCCCTCTCATGTCTTCCGTCACCTACCCCTTTCCTAGCCACTGTCCTGGTGCCCCTGGTACCCAGGGCCTGGGCTGGGCTTTTCTTTCTTGGCATCTTTCCCTCATCCTGTTTTATGGATTCGGCGACTGAGACCCAGAGAGGAGGAGAAACTCGAGCTCTCACAGCGGGAGTGCCACGTGCCGGGTCTGCCCCGTTTCCACATTCCCACTGGGTGAACTGGAGGCAAGATGCCCTCCCCAGGCCTTCCCCGCTCCTGACCTGTGACTGGGATAACTTGACCATCCACTTCCATCAACGATCAGGGCCGGGAGCTGCTGGCCCTGGCCTGGGAGTCCTGGTTCTGCCACTTATTATGTGGCCGGGGCAGATGCTTTACCTTACTTGGATCCTCAGTTTTCCTGCGTAGATGACGGTGGTAGAAGGCATCCCACCCTTGCCTCCTTTGTGGGAGGACAGAAAACTCCAATGTGACTAGGCAGTGGCCTTCATGGAACCTTGGGCACCCTGCTGAGCCCCTCACAAGCAAGATCAGCTGAGCTGCGTCCTGTGTGCTACGACCACTCCCATCTTACAGAGGAGGGAACCGAGGCTCAGGCCTAAGTACCTGGTGAGTCAGAATTTGGATCCAGGCAGCCCAAAGGACTTACCCAGAGCCAACGTATCTACCAGGTGAAGGGGATGCAGAGCTTAACTAACATCCATACCAGTTTTGAGATCCTTCAAAATGTTTCAGTTGCTTAAAAAATCAGAAGAAGAATGAGTACAACTCAGCCTGGATTATATTTGTCTTCATATTAACATGATTGTTAAAATTTAACTTTTTTTTTTTTTTTTTGGTACTGGGGATTGGATCCAGGGGCACTTTGCCACTGAGCCATATCCCTAGCCCTTTTCCATTTTTGTTTGGAGACAGAGCCTTGCTAAGTTGCTGAGGCTGGCCTTGAACCTGTGATCCTCCTGTAGCCCACAGAATGGCTTGGATGATAGGCATGGGCCACCATGCCCAGCTATAAAATTTAACTTTTAATATGTTTTTATCTGGAGGAAAGGGTCCACAGAGGCAGAAGTGGCCAGGGTTTGTGACGAAGGTTATGCTGCGACTCTGGGCTGAACCACCTGGATCCAGGCTGCAGGTGCACATGTGGGGCCCAGGGTCAGCCTCCTTTCTGGGAGAGAAGACAGAGGAACTGGGCAAGGCTGGAGCTCCCAGGAAGGAATCAGATAAACTCACTGGCTGGGGATGGAGACCTGGGGAGGTTTGAGCAGAGGGCTGAGTGGCAGAGATCCTGGGCTGTGATTTGGGATTAAAGGTTGTTAACAGAGGAGTAAGGCCCAGTAAACAGGCTGCAGCACTGCCTCCGGCCCTGCCCATTCACTTCCTGCTAATAGCTCCCCTGTGCCTCTCCACACCTCGGCCTGCTCATGCCCCTCTCTAGGGAAGACTGAGGGCCAGTGAGCCAGGGAGGTGAGCCCTTCTGCCTAGGAGCACCCAGCAGCCATGAGTCACGGTCTCCTGACAAGGGGGCTCCCTTTTGCTCACCGTTTCCTTTTGATTTTAACAAGGGCCCCTAGCAGCCCCTGGCTCCTGGCCTGGTCACAAGGGACCAAACAGTGAGTCACTGAGGAGCTGCCTCAAAAGCTAACCGAAAATTAGCTTTGATTCCCGGGGAGGTTTGGCTCACAGCTGTTCTGTGGCAGAAGAGGGGTGTTCCCAGGAAGAGCCAGGTTTCTGAGACAATTGCTTTCATGACCCACTTCCAGTCCTGGCCTGCCCAGGACAGGGCCCCTGCAAGCCCCTACTGGTCTATACCTGGGGCAGAAGACGGAGGAGTGGAGGGCCAGAGGCTGGTGGGGACAACCCGGCTGTCTTCCGGGCAGACAGACATTGTCCCAGCTGAGGTTTGAGGTGGCAGTGTGGGTGGGACCTGGTCTGGAGGACACTTGCAGACATTTGGGAAGGGTCTTGGTATGGCTTTCACACCACCAGCACCATGTGGCAGGGAGTGTCAGCAAGACCAGGGCCTGAGCGGCAGCTCCTCTGCTCTGGGGCTGTGTGAACTTGGCCAGTCCCATCCCCTCCCTGAACCCAGCTGCATCCTCCATAAAACAGAGACAAGTGACTGACCTTGCAGGGGTGTGAGCCAGATGGAAAGGAAGGGAAACGCGGAAAGCCCTCTGCAGGGCCTTGCCCAGGGGAGAAGCCCATAAATACGGGCCCCTCCTTCCCTCCCTGCTTACCTGGCCACAGGAGGCAGTGCCTGTCCCAGGAGCTCAAAGCACTTATCCCCATCGGGGACTAGCAGGCAGCCTGGCCAGGGCTCCGGGCATTTTGATAGGATCATTGTCCCCACTTGACAGATGAGGAGAGAGGGGTGACAGGTGAGGACTGAGGGTTGATGCTGAGGAGTGAGGAGTGAGGGATTAGGGATGAGGGTGGGCGTTGGGGTGGTTGGCATGGAGACCAGGTGGAGGTGGGTGGAGGATCGTCCCTTCTTCTCATAGCCTCTGTTTCATCCCTCAGAACTTTAGGGATCCTATAGACCTCTTTGAACAAAGTGGGGGATCACCTTATTCCTGGAAGGACTGATTGCTCATCCAGTCAGTAAACTACATTGAGGACCTACTATGTGCTGGGGATACACTGCAGAGCGAAACCAGGCCTGGTTCCCTATTGGCTGGAGTCATTGAAGATTCTGGAGGTACGGGAGCTTTCAGGCATGGCTGGATCATGGCTCTGGCTCTGTTTCCTTTGCAGTTCTTCCTCTCCTGCTCCTTCTCGGGGGACTTCTTGTGTGGTTTCAAGGTGTCTGCATGTGCCACAAGGGCCTCCTGCTTCCTCATTCACGTGGGGGCAAGTAGAAGAGGCAAATCTTCCCACGGTCATCCCTCAAAGCCCCCTACTTTGTTTTATAGGAACAACATGGACCAATCTTTGTTGCAAAGAGAGTACGATGGATTGGCTTGTCCTTTGAGGCTCACCCTTGGTTCCAGGGAAGGGGAAATATGTCACCCAACTGCCCAGTTGCTGTGCCATAAGGGAAGGGAGACTCCCCAAGCAAAACTCTGGGTTCTGTTAGGAGGGCAAATAGATGTTGCAGAAGCCATTGGAGCATGTCCCTCTACCCTGTGTGCCAGAACCCAGGGCATTTCTGGAACCACCTTCAGCATATCCAGAAGTGCCTTTTAAATCAGAGGTAGGATGAGGAGAAAGGCCTGGTCTTTTGAGGTGGGGGACAAAAAACAAATCTAAACTAATTTGATAAAATTGTGAAGCTGGAACTACCCCCAGAGAAACATCCAGAAGACCTTCAACTAGATTCGGGCGACTCTGGAGATATTCTCTCTAAGCCCCAGAATCTTCATCCAGAGATATGAATTTTGCTGTTCCAAGTTGTTGGAGGACATGCAATTGGCATCCAGGAAGTCACCATACCAAGAATGCCCCAGGGTGTCCCCTACCAGCCAGAACACAAACAAAACCATTGAAGGAATTGGGCTCCCTTACACAGAGAGAAATGACAACGATGGGAGGTAAGAGGTAAAAACAAACAGAACCTAAGCAAGGAGCTCAGGGGCTCTCAGAAATCTGCAACACAAAGGAGCCACCAGAAGGGGAGCCGCCTGAGCAGCAGCAAACACCTAGAGTTGCCCCGAGATGCTCGAAATAGGTGCGAATTAATGGTTCCCACATCCTTGCTAAGAGAGAAAAGACTCCAACAGGTTCAGCTTAGCAGACATTTATGTTTCCAACACTGTGTTGATGGACAGATGGAAAGGCTCCCCTCTGATCCCGGTGGGCACAGACAGGTTAATGTGTGCACGTCTGTAGCAGGGGTGTGGCGTAGAGCATTTGGGGAGTCACAGAGGAGGGGACAATTAATTCTGCTTGGACAGCCTTCAAAGAGAGCTGTGGAGCAGCAAGCAGGGCTGTCACCAGAGCTGGGACCCTGAAGGGTAAATAGGGTTCAGCTGATGGTCAGGAGGGACATAGAATAGGAGCTGTGGGCTCTGAGGCCCAGTCCTATGAATACCTTTCCTTTCTTCTGCAGGGCATCCCCTGTCCCTTTGATATCATCACCCAACTCCTCCCATTAGGGAAAACCTCTCTCTTAGTGTCTATGATCAGAACTGCCCATCATAATGAGGCACATGACCCAGCCAGCCAATCAGTCTTTCTCCTGGGACTCTTTTCCCCAGAATTTGCGCTAGCTTAAGAAGAGCAGAGCCATTTGGTCTTTGGTGTCCTAAAGAGATTATTCATGATTACTGAAACTTTCCAGGTCCTAACCTTCCCAAGGCCTGGTGGATTAACTCCTCCTTCTATTTCATGAGTGGTCCAGCTTTCTTTCATCAATTTTTTTTTTTTTTGGTTTAGCCAGAATAAATTGCAAACAAAGAACGTTAATCGAAATGGCAGTTGGTGCCAGGATGAGGATTATAGACGATAGATCCCGAGGGAAAAAGGGAATCTGGGATAGGATTGCTGGGCAGAGATTTGGCATACCCTCCGCCCATCCACAGCTGATCAACAGCTGCCTGCTCACCAAGAGCAGAGCTTGGGGCCTTAGTGGTTGCTGTCATTCAAGAGGGAGGCCCCTGGGTGAGATGGTTGCTTTGACAGTATCAGGTCAATTAAAGAGGGAAGAACTTATCATCTCCAGCAGTGTTCGCCATATTATATCTAACATTTGTTTATTTATTTTGTTCTTTCCTAACAGAATGTAAATTCCTTGAGGGAAGGGAGCTTTCAGGCATGGTTGGGTCATGGCTTGCACAGAGCGGGCCTTATTGATGAACCAGTGCACACATGCGTTAACAGCAA